GATTTTTACATGTCTGATTTTTTTTGATTTTGATCAATGATAATTACTTTGAATATGAAAATCTGTTATAGTTAATGTAAAACTATACAGAAAAAAAGGCTTTTAAAAATACAATATTAACATAATATATAAATAGTTATCATGTCTCAAAATTTGTAACTATGTAACCTAATAGATAATAAGATCATTATATAATCAAAATATTATTGAAGCTGCTTAAGCCAAATTTTTGTTATTAATAATAAATAGGATTTTATAAGATTTCTATTAATAATAAAAACAAATTGTTAGAGTTTTAAATATAATATATTACAAAATATAGTAGCAGTTATAAATACTAGATCATCTAAGATTATCATAAATTATTATATAACTATCTCTCAAATTCTTCAAAAATATAATGTAATACAATATATGATTACCAGTAAATTTATAAGTATTAATAATATATTTAAAAATTTAGATAATTATTAAACTTTACTTAAAAAATGAAGCTTTTTTAAAAAATTAATATAAATTATCTTTTTATATAAGCATCTAGTTGAACTAAAGTTTAATTTTAAATTTATTATTAAACAGGTATATTGTAGTAAAGACTATAATATTTATTATATAATATTAGTTTACTATAAAGCTCAATTCTCTATTTTTATGTAAAATATCACATAATATTAATAAATTTTATTACATTATTTATATTACATTTTTTATTAATTTATTTTATGTAAATACTTACTATTTTTATATTAAATACTATACTTCTATTTTTATATAAATATATACCTTGTTAAATAAATATTTAACTATAAAGAATTTGCATATAAATTATTAAAGAATTTTTTTGTCTAGATGCTGTTTTAATATATTGTAAATCATAATATTTAATATATCTATAAAGAAAATTTAAATTATTTTGTATCTTAATAAAAAAGTTTTACAAACTACTGCTACTATAAATGTGTCTTAACTCTCAAATTTTAAAGTTTTTAAAAATAAGCTATCAAACCTACTTTTACAGTTTTAAATTTGATAAAAAATTAATTTTTAATTTACCAAATAATAAATATCAAGAATTTATCAATGCTTATACATATAGTATTATATTAAAAATGAAAAATAATATACTAAATCATGCTATTATTTGTTGTTTTTTAATAAGGGTTATATGATATATCATTTTAAGATTTCATGACTCTACAATGTGATTTCTAGACTTATCATTATTTATTAATAAAGTAGCTATTCTAGTATATTTTTGAGAAATAAAACTAAAAGAAATAATTTGAAGAGAAGATTTTTTAGTAATATTAATAGAAGGAATTGAAGTAATAGAAGAATAATAGCTAATTACACTTTTTCTAATTTAGTGATTCAAATTTTAAAATCAATTATAGCTTTTTATATACTATGATCATGTGTTAATTATAATGATTAAGAATTTGCAAATGTGTGATAAAGTATAGAATATCAAAAATATCAAAAATATTAAATATATTTAATATATTTATTTAGTTAATATGTATAATAAAAATATATTAATTTATTAATATAGTTAATATGGTTAATATATTTGATATATTAAAATATATAATAAAATAAGTATAAATACAAACTCTTTGTAAGTTAAAAAGAGAAACTAATGGCTATATAGAAAACTTTTCTTATAAAATATAACACAATACTATTCTTTAATTTCATATACCTCTTGTGTTTATTTTCTTTTCTTTTATTTATTATTTCTTCATTATCTTATTATTTCTTTTTATTTAATAAAGTACTTCTTATTCATCATTATAAAAACTCTTTGTAACCATTGTAAAAACTTTACTCTATAATAAAGGCTACTTGTATTTAATAAACTTAATAAAATTTAGTATAATTAAGTATTAGATATATAATACCTGATAATTGATAAATTTTAGTTCTAATAATTTTATTATTTCTTGAATAAATTTATTTATAAATAAATAATAAAAATTATTTTTTAAATTTATTAATAAGCTTACATTTTTCTTCATGTATTAATAAGATTACTAAATGAAACCTAGAGATTTTATAAGTCGTTTAAATAAAAAAAGTAAAATTTAGCGAAATTATATTAAAATCTTATTAAAAAAATTTGCGAAATTCTAGAAAAGATAAAACTATTTCAAAGCTTATAAAAATGCGAAACTATACCAAAACTTTAATAAAAATTAGTAAAATTATAGTTTAGATATTTTATCAAATTCAAAATAAGTTTAAATAAGCAACCTTATGTATTAAACATAATTTTTCTAATTTTTCTCTTTTTTTATTTAATATACAATTATTTTTTGATAATTAATTTCAAGTTGTATATATTATAGTTTTTGTGTCTATTTTAGTAATTGAAAAAAATTTTGCAAATTTTTGATTCATTGATAAATATTTACAGTGGTTTAAACCTTCTTTTACTAATAATTATAATGTATGTATTACATAAAGTTATCTTTTATAGAAGATAAAGTTTAGTTGAGAAGTCATATATCTTTAACTATATTTGTTCTATTATTAATAATAATTATAAAAATTGTATTTGTTAAATGTTATTATTTAATAATTCTATATAATTTATCACAAATAATCTTTCTGATAAGTAGATATTGGTATGCTAGTTCTTTTAGATCATGGTAAATCACCTGTGATATTACAGTTTAGCAGAAAGTTTCCTTTACATGAAAAAGTAAAATAAAAGTACAAGATAAAAAAAATAAAGATAAATAAGACAAATGGGATGTAATGCATATAATTAATTATTTAAAAAAATAAAGACTAGTACTACCTCTGTCAGCATGTCTGTATTAAATAATTTATTTATCAAAAGATTTATTATAAAACAAAATTTTGATCTGCTCTTTTACATTAACAAACTACTCTTATTTATATAAAATTCTCTTTAATAATGATAAACTAAATAAAGTAAAGAAAATAGATAAAATAATATAAATGAATGAGATAATAAAATGAATAAAATAGTTTAAATAAAATAAATGAATTAAATGAATTAAATAACGTCAATAATAAATGACGTAATAAGATCTATTTACATAATAAATTAGACTATCAAAATTGGAAAATAAGTCGTGTAGATCATTTAATTATCTAATTTAGCTACAGTATTACAAATCATTTTAATATAACACAAAATAGATCATTCTTTTACAACTTTGCAGATCATTTTTTGCATATTGGAGATTAGTGATCCTGGCTTAATCTGTAAGGTGTGAATCTCTATTGTAAGTTATACTACAATAGTCACAAGTTCAAACCTCAGCTAAGGTATAAAACTAGATGATTTTTATAAGAATTTCATATGTAACTGAATATATGAGTGTTTAGACTAATCAATATTAGATACTAGTCAATTGATCTGTCAATTTATGTTAATCATGCCTAAATACTGGATTTAAAGAACATGTGAATGTAAATGAAGCCAGGGATCGATAAAAACTTAACTTTTGCTAACAGGTCTATAATGGATACTGTCTTATGTCTTCAAATTTAAGAGCCTTTATACAAGTAAGAAAATGATTAACTAGTAATTAGTAAATTGGATTCATTACAAGAAGCGTAATGCTTAAGGTAATAATAGACTGCATTATACGTTACAGTACCTTTCAAATTGAATTATCATTAGGATTAGAGATTGAGTTCAATTTTCAGGTGAATTTGATGCTATTGATACAAAACCACTATTTATGTAAAGGACCTAATCCTACAGTTTCAGTAGTCATTAATAGGTAAATCCTATAAATTAGTTTGGTAAAAATAAGACCTGATAAGCTCTACAGTTAAAGTAAGTCCTCTATCCAAAGGTGATGATATCCAATAAGGTCTAGTATGTCTTGTGATATAGGAGTAAACTGTTACAAAGTGGTCTATACTAGGTGGCAACCATTCAGAAATGTACTTCTAGGCAGGTTATCATACTTCTCAATAAAAATCAGGACTTAAAGAAGTTACTTAACGTAAGATAATACTTGTCTTAATTAGGATATACTCTCTACTAACTTTCTAGCTACCACACATTAATAGTGAAAAAAAAAATCATTTTTGCACATTGAATTTTATAGATCATTTTTGTATATTAATTTTTCCCCTCTTTCTTCAAATCATAAAAAATGAGAAAAGAAAAAAATCAAAAATTTTTACAAAAAAATAACTGCAACTTAAGAAGCTACTTTAGCTTACCAACAAAAAATAAAGAAGAATCTTTACAGAAAAGACTATGACTATCAGATTTATCCAAACAGATGAAATTTTAGCTGGACTTTCAAAAGTTATAACTACTATTAATATTTTATCAGCTGGTAATATAAGTGTTAACCAACAAGTAAAAGCAGTTCTCGCTGAAGCTAAAAACTTTAAATACGCTAAAATCACCTGGTTTTCTAGAGAAAATAATACACAAAAAACCTTTACTACCAGTTCTTTGCCTATTCAAAAACTAAGGATAGTGAAATGATGGTTCCTGATGACAACAATGTTATAGATGAAGACTAGGCCTTTGATGCATCTGAAAATATGCTAAATAATAAAGACACTAACAAAAATACAATTACCTTTAAAAGAGTTAGAAATGCTACTACTTTTTATGTTTACTGCATCATAGAAACTTTTCTTCTCAATAAATCTTTTCACAAAAAAACTAACAAAGTTTGCAAATTGTTTAATAATGCAGAATACACATTGTTTATTGGTATGTCAGTGAAATAAGACCCTGAAAATAAAATGTTAAAAATTATCAGATTAGGATTTATAACACACGAGGATGTCAACTATGCAATTTCTGTCAAAATTTTTAATATAAAAACAGTTATATTTAAACTCTTTGTTATACCTGCTCTATTTAAATTTAACTTAAGTTTATCGATTAAGGTAACTGAGATTTTTATTTCCATTTTTGAACAGATCATCTAATCAACATTTGCCTAATTTAGTATGATCATCAAATAGGAATAGGAAAAGTTCCAAATAGAATGACTCAGAGTCAGTTTTAAAACTGAACATCAGTTCTATTCTTAAATTAAACTAAGGAGTTAAAGCAGAACAATCGGTTTTAAGAGAACTGACTCTCTTGAGTCAGTTCTATTTAAATTTATAATATTAGTATTTAGTTATTTTAAAATAAAAATAAATAAGATAAAAATAAAAAATAAATTTACGACTTGTAATTTTTGTGGCACAGTAATTTTGATTAATAATGGCAATTTTTATAATGGTAATTTTGTAACAGTAATTTTGTAGTACCAATTTTTGTAATAATAATATTTATATTAGCTATTTTTAAAATAGTAATTTTGTAGTGACAATTGCTAAAGTAATAATTTTGTAACGTTAATTTTTTTTTAAAAATGATAATTATCGAAAAAAAATTTAAATAATTTTCACGCTTCTTTTTGTTGAAACGGAAGAACAAAAAGAAGAAACCTTTTCTGAAAGGATATTAAGTAGTGATGAATTCAATCCTAACCAACTTGAGGATAATGAAGATAAATGGGTAATTAACCTTGACGAAATTAATCCTGATAAATCAGCTAGTAATATTTCAGAGACTAGTCAGGTTTCAGATTCAGAGACAAATATTTCATTAGGAAATAATAGTGTGTGGTTGTATTTTAATAAGAATCCAGCTGATGCATTTGGTTATAATGTTTGTAAAATATGTTCAAAAAAATATCAAACATCAACAAGTGTATTTTCTTTACGAAAATATCTTCAAACACATTAACTTTAAGTACCTACAAAAATACAAAAAATTAAAAATAATATTACAACTCTTTATAATAGGCAAAAATAAAATGAACATGACAAATATCTTATTCAATGGTTTATACGTGATCTTTAGCCTTTCACTATTGTTGACAATACTTTTTTTAGAAGTTTTATTAAATTTTTTTGTCTGCATTATGTTATTCCTGATCGATATAAAGCAAAATGTAAGATTAATTTCATAATTTTTTATTATATTATAATATCATCTAACTTTCTTTTGTTTAAATAGGTTTGATAATTAATACTTTTACTATGCAAAGGAATAATATTACCAACAAACTTCATCAAATTGCAGGAAAATTCTCATTAACAGCTAATATTTGAACTTCTATAATAAATTGGAAAGCTTTTTTAGGACTTACAATTCACTAAGTTGACTCTAATTGGAATCTTTGTAATTTTTTACTTAATATAATTTTATTTACCATTAAACATTCTGAAGTGAATATTGCACAAGAAATTATGCGCTTCTTAGAAGAATTCAATATTTCTAGAAAAATTATCACACTTACAACTGACAATAATTCTGCAATGATAGTTTGTAAAAAAGAAATTTTCTCAGCTTTTGATAATGAATTTTCTTTAATAAATTTCTCACATTATCATTATGCAGTGCATGTATTAATTTAGAAGTGAAAAAAGGATTAAAAATAGTCAGTAATTCTATTACAAAAGTATGTCAAATAATGCGTAATATTAAAAATTCTACACGTCTTTGTGATTCACTTTGTGATTTTTATAGTTTAAAAAAAATAAATATCTTAAACCAATTTTGGATGTGGATACACGTTGAAACTCGACATATTATATGTTAAAAAGATTTAAAGAACTTGAACCAGTTTTAATATTACTTGTAGCTGACAATCCTTCTATTAATAATCTTTATCCTAATAATGATGATTGGAATTCAATTAAGGTAAATTAAACTAAAAAAAATAATATT